TAATGTTTTGTGTTCATGATTACAATGAACTGAATAAAAAATCTACGAACAAATCTAAGTACATACTACTATTAAAAATGCATTACAACTTTAGCAGATATTTCAAATTGTAAACCTTACAATATATTTATTTTTTATGGTATAGCTGGTAAGCGAGCAGACGGATTACCTGATGGTAAGCAATCGGCGTCGCCCATAGACACCTAGAACACCAGAGGCATTGCAAGTGCGTTAGCGGCCTTTTGGATTAGGATTTTGAGGATTATTGGGGATTCAGGGATTGGGAAAATGGGGGCTAATTGGGCCGCCTGTGACCTGATTCACACGACGAAATATGTACAACGCAAGCGTTGTTTCCCGTCAGTTTACTGTGAGAGAGTGATACTATGGTATCACTCCGGTCAAACTGCCCCTTTTGTGCCGAAGCATGGCTCTCCCCCACGTAAAATTGTCATTTTATTTACAATTTATTTGACCTTTCAATATTCTACATAGGTAGGTACATTTCTTAAAAGTCTACGCCTCACATAAAAACGACTAATTACAAAAACACTTACAAAATCATTCATTTAATTCTTCACGACATCAATATTTACGTCGGCCATCTTAAAGTTAGATGGACAACATGAGATCCCATTGAAAACAATGAGTGGAAACCCCTATGTGAAGCTTGTCGCATTTAAGTCAGTAAACGAGTTGAAACGTTCATGTATTATAGATTTATTTTCACTATTCTACTACTGTATTAACACTTAATGTTTTCTAAACTTGATGGGTGTACGGTATTTCAAGTGGTTTGTGGTTTCCTCGTTTCTTTACATAGGAGTGTATCTATTTTATCTTAAAAACACTTCTTCGTAGTACTAGGTACAGGTATCTCAGGTTCACCTTTAGACATTCCATAATGTTTTAAATTAATTTCTCCCTATTCAAAATTGGTTTTTAGAAAAATAAATAGATATTTTTTGATTTTAGCTTCGAAATGTAACAAACAGCGTTGACTGACCGAACTTAAGAAAAGCGGATAAATTTTATACCTATATGGGTTTTTCAAATACCCATTAACTCGTCGAGTACCGGTTTTGTAGACACAATTATAGAACAATAGGTTGCGGTCACCGGTGACCGCTTGGTGTTTGACAGTTTAAATATGATTTTCCGCATAAATAACAGAACAGGAACCTCATTAAATAATAACCTAATTACTGTTTACTGAACAAAACGCTCGCGGCACCAACTTCAAACTAAAACTCGTACAATTTAGATTGTTACGGATATTTTAGTAAATTAAACGCGATATAATTAGCATAATATGACAATAACTTAATATAATTTACGTTTTGTATTAGTTGGCATAAACATAAACGTTTTGATATGAAGAACTAATGGTTTGTGATAACTGTTATCATAGTTCATTGATTGTTTCTAGGACTGCTTCGATGATTAACAACTGCTGTATAAGGACTTAAACCGAGACGGTTTGGTCGATGCCCAATAGGGCAATGTCAATATATAGGTACTGGACACGTTTCCGAACTCAAAGCTATTGGTGACAATTTTGAAATTAGAACAAAACACTGCTTTGTTATTAAAATTTGATGGGAGGCAGGAGTCCATACTAAGCAAAGGTCGACTGCCTGACTGTTGGCGCGGTGACAATAACTGGCTACCACGCAACGTATTGCGGGTTCTATTCCCGCACGGAGCAAATCTTTGTGTGATTCACAGATTGTTGTTCCGGGTCTGGGTGTCATGTCATGTGTATGTGAAATTGTATGTTTGAAAACGCACCCATGACGCAGGAGAAAATCCTAGTGAGAGGCAATGTCTTAGAAAAAGGCTATGTTATGGATCTCTTACCTCTGAACTCGTTATTTTATTTTTATATTTTCAGTTGGTATAAGTTTTGATATACCATCGTAACATCTATTTAAAAAAAAATACATTACTTCAGGGGTTGAGAAGAGAAAAAGCAATAAAGAAATATAATGAAAAGAAAAATGCATTTTAGATTATCTTTGCCAATAATGCTTTACAAAAACCTCTTCATGAGATGGCCAGATATAATATCAAAGATTTCTAACCCACATTAGGAAAAAATACTAATTTTAAATTCATTCTAATATTGACATTTAACACAGGAAAACGCCCAGACTTGAAAAATATAACAACTTGTGTTAAAAGACGTTATTGTAACCTAATTCACATTTGTTTTACTACTGGTATCAATAAATTACAGAAGTTTTACCATAAAAGTGAAATAATAAATGGTCGTATTCTTAAAAATCTTGTATTTTGTTACTACCTGTTATTTTATAGTACATCCACTTTTCGGTGAAGTTTAAATAGTTACGTTATGATTTCGTACACAAGTTTAGTATTCTAGCTACTTCAGTACCTTCTTTTTCGAGGGGGACAACCATCAAATGACTCCTCCAGATTTGTGTGAAGCGAAAGGGAGTGTCAGACTATTACTGATTAAAAACCGCTCTTGCGGTTCTCCGCAGCCCCGGCGGCTATTACAAACTCCGGTAGTATTTTTTTTTTAATTGAATTTCCGAATTCAAAATATATTCCGAATTAAATGACACCTCATTCATAGATTACCGATGCTGCTGAAAGATCAGTTTTAAAAAGGCTATAAAAAATAAATGGCTGCATAATTTTCTATCTATCACAAAATTCGAATCAATTTATTGATGTCCCCATATAAACTTCCAATCATGAATCACAAACTATTACTATTACAACTAAACATCTTTACAATCTTTGCTAATCATAAAGATTAAAATCGTGTGAGGCGAGTCGTTCATAAATCTATGAATAGTTGAATATATCTCGACATGGCAGCCATGCTAAAGTAGAACAAGATGAAGATCTCATAAATAAATAATCAGCTGTTCTGGCCTTTAGAAAATAGCTGCCTTATACATGAAATTGTATTTTCACTGGCATTTTTGAAGGATTTTTTAAAGATGGACTACTATTTTATTGGGAATACTACGTCTATTTGACTTATTATCACACAATTTCTCTAAGAAGTAACTAAATTAAGTCATATTTTTTATTAGTTATTCAATGTCTTTGTTTTGAAAAATTGCCTAAATTTCTATTATTATAAATTCTATTTTAAATTCAAATGGGTAAAATCAAATGAGAATTAAAATTTATTATTCTAACGGTTCATATTTTAAATGTGGAACGTGTTGAAAAAGTAATAAATAACAATACAGGTGCGGCACCACTGGTAACAAATAAATAAAGTTGCCAGTAAATTTGACTGCACTAATTCTGTTGGTACACGAATAGTGTAAAATTGGAAATGTAATAAATATAACGTAATAATAATAAATATTGACACTGCCTCGTTGGTTTATTATCTAGAAGTAGTAAGCTCTGTTGTCGACCTTTTTTGAGAGAATACAACAATTATTATATATTAAAATCTGATATATTTACGGCAAGTCCGAATTGCCAAAGAGCATGAAAAAAGTGTCATTGTTGCTATAAACTATAGCCATTATATTATATTAAAATATTGTAATAACTTTAGCCAAAAAATGGGTAAATTTTTGTATTTTTCATTCAGTGACTATTAAATTACAAACGAGAGCAATAACAATTTTATTATTAGGCGAAAATCACGAAGCAGAACTCGTAATAATTGCTATTATTCTAATCAAACTGACAGGCAATTAGGAGCCTGAGTATTTTTTATGGCATTACGTCTGCCATTTTTTCATACCAACGTGTATTTGTACACAATAAATACCGTGTATTTTGGATCCACCGTATACGTAACAAAAGTCATGGTGACTTTCCAAAAAATGTGTGAGAAGTAACAAGTTTAAAGTGTTCAATTAGCCACCTAAAGAGACTAGAATGTGGCACTTTTGGTGCCCACTTACCTCTAGTACCATAATTGGTGATTGCTCGTAATCAATCGACAATGGCTCGTAAGTAGGAACAACAAGGTAGTTTGTTGGAATTCGATAATTTGATGGAAAGTCTCACGATTAGGTACTTACTTACTACGAGAAAATTGTGTTTGTTAGTGAAATGTATGGGAACGTGAGATATCATTTTGCACGACCGATCCACACTTCTTATTCGCTTAAATAGGTAAGAAGAAGAAAGTATATAGGTTTGTATGTTTCAATTTGAAGTAGTGATTGTAGAAAAAATGTCAATAATCGATAGTTTTAAATTAAATAATTTCTGTGTTTGTTTATTAACTTCTATTCCTGACCTGCTAGGAAAGGATCTATGAGTATCAAACTAAAACACATACAATAAATAAGATTTTCTAAGAGCTCTGAAAAAACCTCAAGCATCGCTTTACGCGTCGTTTGGGCGTGCGCACGAGTACGGAAGACGTATGGAAATGCGCGCGCACCTGCCACTCCGCCACCCACTGCGCGCATAAACCAGCCTTACTTTACAACACTCAACGTGTCGATTCAGAAGTCTGACTTTCAAAAGTTCTCTTCAATAATTCAGGTGAATGTTTAATGTCTTTAGAAATAAGTGTAATAATAAATGATTAAAACGTCCTAAAATCGATCAGATCATCAGATACAGTACATCATTATTACGCTTTACTTAATAAGAATTCGGTGCGAATATTTTTTCAACTAGCGATCGATTATATTATTCGTGAAAATTAAAACAATAATTTAATCACCTATGAGTTATGTATGTACACTGAGTGTATTTCGGCTAAATGCTATGGTAAATTATGAGGCCATATCCCTATTTTAATTGGGTTTGGAAAAGAAAGTATGACATTGCTTTTCAGTTAAGTAAAACCAATAATTTGTAACGTTTTGTCTAATGTTACATTTCTGGTGGGATCATTTAAAAAATGTTCCCTAATGGATGAGCCTTCTCATCAGCTTCTGTCATATATCCAGCCTCCAAGTTACTAACTACCTCTTACAGCAGATTGCCTACAATTTTTTCCTAACATCCGCTACCGTTTCAAGAAACATTTAGATGAGTTATGGTGCTTTGATGGCTCTAGTTGTTTCCTGAGCGTTGTAATGAGGTATAGACTGCATGTTATCCATATTACTTGCTTGAAACTGGGTAGAACTGAGGGAAACTAAGTGAAATGAGTTTATGAAATTGTTTTCTAAATACGCCTCCTGGCTAAACTTTGGTATTTGAAGGAGGTAAATAGATTTTGCAGTGACATGTGGTGCACTTAGTTTCGTGTTACAGTTTAAGGGCAAGCTAAATATGTAAACGGTTTAGCTACTTCATTGTAGTATGTGCTGAATTTTGTATCCTATAATGAGGCTCGCGTTTTTCTCTTACGAAAAAACTTATAAATGAAACTTAGAAATGTTTAGTGCATAATGGTACTGTAGTTTTTAAAGATTTTTACAGTATTAAGGTTGTTGTCTACATTTTGAAAATCTTACTAAACTTTATTGTAAAACGTATAGGTATTCTCGTAGAGTCTCACTTGGTAGACACATTCACTTTCAACCTTCTTCATCAACATATAGTGTTATTAGGTTTCCTATTTTGTTATTCACCGTGTAATACCTGAGTAACACCATGAGGGCCAGACGACCGGCGTTTCTGCGTCCACGTCGCGGCGGGCTGAGAGCGAGGCGATCATCAGTACTGCATATCAGCCGCCAGCGCGCCCCGACATCGCAACACCCTACAAATTGATATCATACACTCGTCTTGACTACACAACCCCACCTACGAAATATTCACCAAATATTCACGCATTAGCACGGTATCTACCTACGTTATGTTAGCACATGTGCATCGCGTCATCTTAGCGTACTGCGATTGGTTCCTTATTTGAAAGACGTTATTTAAAAGTTTGAAATTAGAAGAGAGAAGTTTTTATACATCTGTGGTTTGATCAGATACATGGTGTTGTTTTAACTACATAGTGTTGTTTTAAACTAGAAGGCCCTTTGTATTGTTATTATTAGCACAAAGAAAAATGTTATTAGTCTAGACAAATTTGTGTAACATTCAGAATAGGCTGCAAGAAAACACAAAGTATAAAATCATTAACTGTTTTTAAGTAGACGATGACAAGGCTCATTGATTTCAAAGTTTAAAAAACAAGAAAAAACACAGGATGATATGACTTATTGAATATACAAACATAAATTAGTGTCTAGTTAATGTCCTATAACAAAAACACATGTAATCGACACCACGACTTACACACGCTAGTTACACATTAAAAACTACTTATGTACAACGAATTCGGTCCAAGTTCATTAAGATTCCGACATGCGCAGGCGCAAGCTACTGAGCTACTGTACGATAGATCGCGACCACAAAAATGGTCAGCGAAATAAAAATAAGTGCAGTTATTTAGACTAAACATTTTTGTAAGAATGAAATTAATGTTTATTATTCATGTACTTGACACTGACTTATTTGCCTAAATCCTTTTAGTAGTTTCCTAATGGGTTGAGACAAGAGCCATCTCTTAGTAAATCTTACAAACAAAAGATTTAAGCGTTTCAATACTGTTGCCATTTTTAAGTGCGATTATAAATAAAATGTTTTAATGTTTTTTAAATATAATACAAGCTTTTTAAAATATATACCTTCTTAAGATTAGTTTTTCAGGTTTTCTCCATTAGAAAAACGGCATTACAGACAACAGTGGCTCGGTAGGAATGCGTAAAAAATCGATCATTAATGGGTTCCGATAAATTCTTTGGCGGCGATACTTCATCGAGGTAGAGACACTCTATTATTTTCGATTATGACTGGTCTACTGCAAAAAGGTGACTCCTAGACTAGTTTGGCAGCTTCATAGTTTAAGTTCAAGTATTTTTTGCTGCAGTAACTTTACGGTTTTTGCTTATTAAGGGGTGTTGGTGAGATGAACTTGGGTGACTGACCTCTCATCTAAATTGGAGTGAAACGAATTAGAGTTCTGCATTTGTAACAATCGATGTTTTGAACGATTTGTTTCAATGATTTTGATATAATATACCTATTTAATGCTGTTTTTAATTCGTACTTCGACCATGACAAAACTACCTTTTGCAAATATTAATATTTGGTAGACGTTAATTTTAGTTTTGACCTTAGACGAATACCTGCTTATATAAAACTTCATGCTTAACCGTGCATGTGATCAGTTTGCGATATTCTTCTTAAATATAAATTAAATAATTATAATACACTTATTTCCGTTCCATCTTCGGTCTCACAAATACATTTTCAGATTCCTCCACTTTTTAACCTGCCCACGCGTAATTATGTAAGTAAGTACGCCCAACACAAATTCCATCATAAAATGTCTATACTGACGTGCACTTTCCTAACTTCTCAAATATTACCAAATGAGTATGTCTGTCTGTTCGTATAACCTACAAAACCTTAGTAGTTCGTATCAAAATGAATACAAAAACGACTTTCGTTTGGTTCGTGGCCTCTGTTTCCGTGACAATGGTCAAATTTAAATGGCGTTGGTCTAGTTTCTGTGGGGCGTGTTCGACGCACGCGCCGCGCCCGCTCAGCGCATGCGCGCTGTGCCCGCGAGCTGTTTATAGGGCTGCCAGTTGCGATTTTCTTGGTACTTTCATAATTTACTGATAGATACAGTAGTAGGTCACGGTTGTTTGCCATTATGTACTTCATTTTATGGGTTTTGCTAGCTGTAAATATTGTTTTCATGAAATTATTGTGATTTTACGATTTGTAATTTATTGTTTTATTTTATTTTATTTTTTGTCTTTTCTCATTTTGTGTTAGATGGTAAGTATTGCATTATTCAGAACTGAGTATCCTATCCATATTTATTGACTCAATTTTTGCACAAAATGATCACGACTAGTTGTTCTATTACTAAATTTGATCGAAAAACCAAAGTAATATCAGAAAATTCAGTTTCACACAATTTAACAACTAACAAAATAACAGTAAAATAAAAAGAAAGAATTTTCCGTATGCACGAGAACCCTGCGCATGCGCCAGGTGTTTGCGTCGTGCGCAGATCGCTAGTAACTCGGTGCCGTCAATTGCGTTCAATTGAGGCTTTTTTCCGAGCCGCCATTACAGTGGACACGCGAGCTAGGTGACACTACATGTACAGCGTGTTTCTATTAGTTGATGTTTGTTGTGAGGTTTTATGTTCTTTTTTAGGAAATTTAATGTTGATTGAGGGTTGGGTGATGTTTATTTGTGTATATTTGTAGGTTGGATTTAGAAGGTTGCTAGATTTTCAGGGCTTTTGTTGTTTAACTCGTTGAGTACCGTCATTGTAGACACAATTATAGAACAATAGGTTGCGGTTACCGGTGACCGCTTGGTGTTTGACAGTTTAATGGGTAACAATCAAATTTATTGCACTTTATACAGGACGAAAGGCGTGGTTTAGGAAATATCATGTCACATCGTAAGTATAAACTCCTGATATTCTATCAAATAGTCCCCTTCTATATACTTAAAACATCTTTAAAGTTTTGCTAGCAGCATACTCATCAGACCCATTTGATATTTTTGCATGAAAGATTACGTTTTGATTTTCACGCCTTTTATCTGTAGGCAGAGATGTACATTATGCCACTATACATTGTAACATCCACTTTTCAATAATCGTGTTATGAGTCCCATGTAATAGGGGGTGAGCCTATGTTTGGACATGCATATAATATTGCAACCGTTTGTGAGGAACTACCTCAGAATTATAATAACATTTTTCTAATATACACAATAAAAACATCACGCTGTACACAGTCCGCGTGTAAGTGTATAACTAGAAAGTGGTGCCAATTACGTGGCACTGCTGCTGACAGACCACCGCCGCCAACTGTAGCATCCTGTCTGTGTCTGATGTATCTCTATATTCACATCTGTCTTATTTACAGATTCATCTTTGTATGTATGTGTGTGTGTATATATGCTCATAGTTTGCTTAACGCATTAAGCAAGGATTTACACGTAAGTGAAAATTGTTATGTCTGAAAAATGTTGGTGGTGTTAAGCAAAATTTTGTAATAAATGTTAGGTACTTAAATGCTTTTATTATTGTTCGGGTAAAAGATTACATAAATGTAAGTAGGTACTTAGAAACTTTTTGTGGGGTATCTTGCCATTTGTGGAATAAAATAGTTCATTTTACGTGGTAATATTTATTAAGGCGTGATTATTTTGTCATCTGCAGATTGCCTCGTTGGCCGAGTGGTCGCAAGTGCGACAAAAGGTCTCGGGTTCCCAGATTGGGCAAAGTATTACTGGGTTTTAAAAAAAATCTCAGTAGTAGCACGCAGTCTGGAATTGTGCCCGGTATATGGCATTAGGCTCACCCCCATTACATGGGAAACAACATAAATGTTACATTGTACAGTGGCATAATGTGCACCTCTGCCTACCCCTTCGGGAATAAAAGGCGAAATGTTATGGTATGTTACCTTGGTATGTTATGTTATTTTGTCATATATCAGGCATACATTAGATTTTAGTCTGTCTTTGGTGATTTTGGATTTTCTTATATTCAAGGTACAAGGTTCATTTTGATTTGACAAGTTGACAGTACGCAAATGTACATCAGTTACCTTTTAAATAATGTACCAGGTATAAATGTAAGTAGAGCTCACGACTAAATCAGTCGGTCGACAGTCGATATCTGCTAGGGATGTAACGGTGTTGTTCCTAGCCAACGAGATTTATGAATGAGACCTCCATCGTGGTACGTTCGACTAACATTAAGTAAATAGTGCTGCGATTTCGTGGAATAAATATCGATATTCGTTTTGCAGCTGCGAAACCGGGTGGTCTATGTTTACTAATATTTAACCGTTAAGATGGACAATAAAGATGACTTAATGTCGAAGCTTTTTCAAAAATATTTTTATTACTGCTATAAATCATCTCAAATTTTAATTTAGACACGTATTGAAATTTCTATAATATATATTTTATTTCATTTTAAAGAATATTCTTTAAAATTACTTTATTATTTACGTGATTAATTCATTTGCAAAATCATAAACATTAAATTCAGCTTAGCACTATTTCTAATACTCTTACTATGAATGAGATAGTTATAAAAAAATATTATAATCGGCTAATATGCAACATCGACTAATTTATTCGCAGATTAACATGTGTCGCATCACTACAAGCCCTCACAAGTGGTTGCTACTAAAACTGTCTAGTTGTTAGAATCTTAGTCTGCATTAGGTACATACATAACGTATTTAACAGGGGAGACGAAGGTACAAAGACTACAAAGTATTTTTTTAGAAATGAGAACTAGTCATTGAGCTCTAAGCACAAAAGTTAACATTGCTACCCAATGTAAAGAAGAAATCAATTTGAAGACGAATAGTAATTTTTAGCCGACTTCAAAAACAGAAGGAGGTTCTCTGTTTGACCTATATGTGAGTATGTATGTATGTTTGTGCGGATTATCTCACGATTGGCAGAACCGATATTGATGCGGTTTTCAGAAAAGGGTGTTTTATGCTTAGAAGAAGGTTTTTGTATATTAATTAGCCAACTACAAAAAGAGAAAGGATTGAAATCGGTTTTTTAAACGTAGTTTGTAAACGAATTATTATGTTCATGTTTATGTCATCTTGATATTCATTCTATATCTACATTTTAGAACTTCACTATGCCTACGACAAAGTGTGAAACTATAGCACTGAGATAACCTTAATATTATGTCCT